AGGGAAGGGAAGGGAAGGGGAGGGAAGGGGCGGGGAGCGAAGGAGAGGGGAGCGAAGGCGCGGGGAGGAGCCGGCGCGGGAGTCGCGGTCGCGCAGCTGCCCCAGTCCGCTCGGTGGCCTGGCCGGGAAGTTCCTGATGAGAGAAACAGGATCGGCATCCGAGGAACGGATACAACCCCGGGGACAGAGGAAGAGGGGCCGCGGCCAGGCCTCGGGAGCCCTGAATCCTAGACGGGGAGCCAAGGAAGGACCTGCAGCAGGAATGGACACCGCCCTCTGGCAGCCGCGAGGGGAAAGGGTTTGAGGGCAGCGCCGAGGCCAGGAGCCGGGCGGAGCCGGTGAGGGGTAGCCCAGGGGGCGGGGCGGGGCGGCGGCCAGGGCCCCGGAGTCAGCGCCCGGTGCCCCAGCAGGATGTACACGCTGCTGTCGGGGCTGTACAAGTACGTGTTCCAGAAGGACGAGTACTGCATCCTGATCCTGGGCCTGGACAATGCCGGGAAGACGGTAGGCTTCCCCTGTCCGCAGGTCCTCTCGCTGCCTGCTGAGTCCAGTCCCCATCCAGGCCGTGGGACAGCCTCCACCAACTGCTTTCATAGCAAAGTGTTTGTTCTCGGAATAGGCCCGATGAGGGACGTTAGGGGAACGGCCTTGAAAGCTACTCTAGCGCCTCCTGCCTGCCTCTGCCTCTCCCCGCAGACCTTCCTGGAGCAGTCAAAAACGCGGTTTAGCAAGAACTACAAGGGGATGAGCCTCTCCAAAATCACCACCACCGTGGGTCTGAACAGTAAGGGGGTCGCTGAGAGCTGTGGGCGTGGGGCCTCCCACAGAGGAAGCGATGGTGTCTGTGGCTGCCAGCTCCTGGTGGCCCTTTCTTGGGAGCACGGGAGCAGTGTGCTGTCCCCAGGAGAGCTGGGAGAGGGTGTGTCACAGACCCCGCCCAGCCTTACCAGGTTTCTTCTCTCCCCAGTAGGCACTGTGGACGTGGGGAAGGCCCGGCTCATGTTCTGGGATTTAGGGGGACAGGAGGAGCTGCAGTCTCTGTGGGACAAGGTGAGACAGATGTGCATATCGTCTGCCTCTCATGCCGTTTCCGTCTAGGCAGCACCCTGGTTCCATGTCTGCTTTTCTCAGAAAGCCTCAGACTCACCTTTCCTTCATGTCAGCAACTTCTGTTACCCTCTTGGTTCTTGAAGCTCCCTGCCCCTATTCTGTCCTGGTCCCTGAGACACTTCCCTAAGGGTGAGAGCCCACTTGCTTCCTTTTGGCTTAGAGATGTTGCTAATGAACACAGGATGAGACAGCAGGTGACCCAGAACCAGATGTGTGGAAAGCATAGTGCTGGTGTGGTGCTCAGTGGCACCATCAGGCCTGACTCCCCCACTTGGTCTTTCTCTCTGTTGTGGCTTGGGACCTGTGCTCTGAGGTGGTCCTTCCCCATTAGGCGAGGATGTCCTGAAAGGCCCGTCTCTTTTAATCCAGGGTTTGGGCATTTCTGAGACAGTGGTGCCCCCCCCCCCC